CCATCGTTTACAGATAACTTTTGTTTTGAATTTGAATAGTGAAATATTTTATTAAATTGTTAAGAACTCCCACTATATTTAGGGACCCTGCTACTTGACAATTGGTGGATCTACAGTGAAAGCACAAGATGAGTACCTTTCCTGAAATTCAGAATGAGACTCTAAAGACTACACAGATTATTAAAAATATTACATTTCTATCACAGTTTTCCTTATTAAAATATAGAAGCTTCATTACTTCAAAGAAACATTATCAGAAATGAGTAACGAGCAATTATCAAAAATATAAATTACTGATATAATTGGATACATATATCAACCACTTCTTATTTAAACTCTTCTCACTTAAGATAAATTTAATAATTTCTTTCTTTGTCAATTTATAATTCATTAATGTTTGTGTATGTGTGTATCAAAACTTAATTTGAATGAAATCAGTAAACAAAATTTTTTTCTTTTAGGAAACACAATATAGTGACTTTCCTTTAATCTCGCCTTCCAGTGATTTTTGCAACAGACACACCCATGCTAAATGGATTTCATCACTGAAAGGGGAATGTACAATGGAATATACTGTACTTTCTAAGGAAGACCAAAATAAAGTACTCAGACCTGCCATCATTTTAAATAGCCTACAAATTAATAATCTTTATTGAAAAGAAAATTAATTTTTTCATTATCAAAGGAAAACCTTGTTATTTTGTTCCAGGAAAGGATGATTTATACAAAAAGGTAGCATTAATTATTTTCACATCAAAATTAATATCATCTAATATTTACTATTTATTGTTAAATTTAAAAAGAAGTGAAAAAGCCACTTATGCACAGTGTCACTGTTGAACAATAGAAATAATGTATATAGATACGTATGCATTGATAAGATTTTTAGTAGATATAACATTGCAATAGTAACTATTATTATATCTGTGCAAGGAACTAATGGGTGATTTTATTTCTGTCCTATCAATAGTTTCTATTTTTCTATTATGTGGAAAAATCATAGTATTATTTTGATATTGTCAAATGTATGATAATAATTTCATGAAGTTCATTTTGTTATTAAATGAAATGCTGAAAATTTTAGACTTTCATTTAAAGTAGTTTAATTCATATCTTCAAAACTTGTCAGAGTTACCCAGTGTGTTCTCCTAGGTAACTTATAATCTAGTTTTCTGTTGGACTATCTCCAGACTCATGAAGCCTCTGGAGTCGTCCTTTGAGTTTTAAAAATATGTTGGGAAGTCTGGTATTGATTACTATCACTTGAAATACTGGTTGGTGACATTAGTTGGCATGGAAAAGATTAGGGAGTTACATTTACCAAAAAATAGGGATGTATGTACAATACTATATATTCTTTTTTCGCTTCATACTAAAACATTTCCCTAATAGTTCTTAAAATTAAGAATCAAGGCATCTTCCCTACTTACAAATATCAACTTACTGGGCAAAATAACATCTCTGATATGGCATCTCAAGTCCTGAAAATGGAAGAAACTATGTATGTGAGCCCAGACTTCATAGACAGGCAGCCAAGAAGTCAAGGTCAAGATCTAGCCATCCACAGAAGGGGAGACTTGAGAAGCATCCATAGAACCCCTGTCTTCCCTAACCTATCAAGAGCTCTGCTTACCCAGACCATCTACCTGGGAACATCTCAGATCTGGAGTCCTACCTTGGGTTAAAAGATTAGAGCACTCTCTTAAAATAGACCTTCTTAAATGCCTGCATGATTCAGGAATTCCTGAGTGCTGGTGTTCATGTACGCTCCTATGAGGAGAATACTATAATTAAATAATCACAGATGCAAAATGTCACTGGGGAAGTCTCAGAGAGCAAGTTAAAGAGGTGGACATTATTCCTGGGAAAGTGCACACGAAGGCTGAAGGCAGAGAGAAATTGCTGAAGGAAACCAAGAGGGAAATGCAGATTCAGAGAAGTGAAATCTTAGAAAAGCGTAGTCCAAAAAGTACATTCTGAAATAAAGTTACATACTTTACCTCTTGCACACTTGGCCAGCCCACAGACACAGGAATTGTTTCTTGCAATCCAGATGGTTGCAATAACTCTTACGTGTTTGTGTTTAAGTACACCAGAAGTGTTCTACCTGCTACCTGTGCATCTCAGCTCACACACTTCCATCCATCTCTTCAACCACAGATGAGAGACTCCCTGCTGCACAGAAGGCAAGATGACCCAGGGAGTATTTATTGCTCCTGGAAAGCCCCAAGGGAGTGACCTCTGGGACCTGGTGCCTGGCCCTGTCTCCAGCTAAACTGCAGAAAGGAACAAGTGAGTGAAGAAAACAATTAACTCTTTCTCTGCTTAACCAGCAGTAACATCTTGATTGTGTACTGAACAGTGAGCTCCGTAGAGGCGCCTAGGGCAAAACGTTAAAGGAAGCACTTATGACCCATAAAGTGAGTGTCTCCTTCCTTAAATACTGAACCCTAGGCACCACACTGGCCTCACCCTAGTTCCAGACCTGGAAGAAACATTACTAAATTCATTACAATATCCTTTGGTGGTGCTTCATCATATCTGCCTGGACCACATTGGAAATTCTCAAACTAATTTTGCTGTCCCTGAAGCATAATTCCAAATATCTCATATTTCATTCCTGTAACAAGTCTACATGATAGTGAGAATGAACGTTTCAACATGTCAATTTAGTTCTGCCACCCTACCAAGTAAAACTTTCTGTTAGTCAACCCACAAGGGGCATTCTCTGTTGCTTGCTGCACAGAAAACCAATTACTAAGAAAACCAGGATTGTCAAGGAAGAAAGCATATTTATTGTGGAGGATGGATCAAGCAGGGGCAGAGGGATAGGAAGAATGCACTGCCTTAAATCGGCCTCCCCAGTTAACAGGTCAGGCGTTTATCTGGAGGTGAAATGAATATTGCATGAGACTAGTGAGCATCATTACATGTTTGCGGCAGAGTGCATGTCATACAAATACAGTAAGCAATCATGATATTACATACATCCCATGATCCAAAACTGGTGGCAATTTTAGTAGTACAATGATCTAGGGGTTAATATTGGTAATTTTTTTCAGCCTTGTACGCGGGTGGGATGTGGAGAGTAGGCTGTTCAGTGGGTCCTTGGGCACAATTTGTGGCAGGGTGTTGCTTATCTTGTCTTCCCTGGACAAATAGGTGGTGTAAGGCCTTGTAGTTATCTCATGGCTGCAAGAGGGTTCTGCCATTTCCAGG